TGGAGGACCTGTACACCTCACGGGTCAAAAGGAGGGCGGAGAGGATCACTGCTGACCCCTCACACCCCAGATACAATCTGTTTGAACTCCTCCCCTCTGGACGGCGTTACAGGTCACTGTGCACCAAGACAACCAGGCACAGGGACAGTTTCTTCCCCCAGGCCGTCACTCTGATGAACACTTAACCCACGACAGTATGATTGGACAATAACCCTCAGTGCAATACCTGTAAATATACATTGTACAGATTATACAGACTCGTACAGGTCTCTAGTATTCTGTTTTAAGTACTCTATTTTTATCCCTAATTATCTCATTTCAATGAACATTTCCTTGTTGTCTGTATTGTTTACTGTCTATTTATGCTGCTTTTTCTGCATTGTTTGCACTGGTTGTTGATGTTAATACTGCTATTTTGTTATATTACACAGCTTTATGCTGGTTTACTGTTTGCACATTGAGAGCCGATGTACCTGAGTCAAATTCCTCGTGTGTCCAACACACCTGGCCAATAAACTGATTCTGATTCTGATTCAGTTTCCCAGTGTCACACTAACCTTAAGGAATTTTTTAAAGCTCATTTTCTCCAGTGGGTATACACACAACATATGATGATGATGAACTTATAAACATCACATGTGTTTCCTAAATGGTTTATATAGGACAGATATATCTACAGAGTATGCAATCAATATTGCATGCTTTATGGAATTGTATTTCACTGGATAGAGACTGGGAAACACTAAATTATGCAACAGAGCCATTTGTAAGAGCAGCTTGTGTGTTTGTGAGATACAGACAAATTGTATGACCTCGAAATCTCTATAATATATCTAACTTACTGTCAAGTATATTCTGCAGAGTGCACTCTTTATTTTGAAAGGTACAGTATAGTAGAGCGAGACAATTAGTCAATTCATCCATTAGTTGTTTAACAGAAAAATAATCTGCAACTATTTTGATAATTGCTCAACCCTAGTTTTTTTAAGGACACATATTATCCACTTCAAGCTTCTCAGTTGTGTGGACCTTTTCTTTGCCCTGGATAAAACAAGCAATCTGACAACATAATCATGGGTACAAGGAAATTGTGATGAACAATGCAGTCATGTCTTAATGTAAGATAAACTAAACTGTGTTTAGCATGTTTTAGTGCATTAGTGCATTTATAGAAGAGAAAGAAAACCAACAAACAGATACTGAGGATCCTGCTGCTGCTGCTGTGATCAAATATGTTTTCCTTAAATATCCTTAATTCAGAAACTGGCACCAAAAATGTTTGGAGTTTTGGTTTTAAAATGGCCTAAACTATTAATCGATAATAAAAAAAATGCTGTTTAATTTTCATTTTAGCTCTAAACTACTACAGTGACTAGCTAGCTAACTAAACTGTGTGTGGTAGGTGACAGGAGGCTTTTGGCATGCAGTCTCAATGTAGGCCTTTTGCTGTTCAGTGTCTCGTAGCATATCAAGTTTTCAGTCTGCATCACTGGCCCACCAACCACAGTGAATGCTCTGATGATGCAAAGATAAAAACAGAGATGAGGAGAGATAGACACTGAGACGGACACAGAGATGACAAGAAAGCAGAGACTGTGTCATCTGAGATGAATCTGTGTGTGATTCCTTCTTAAATTGGTGGTGTCAAATGTGGGTCTTTCATTTTTTTGCTTAATTATGTCTTCTGATGTGGATAAACTGTCGCTCCTCCCCCCACTCCTATATGTGGGACTCTTAGTGTCCAGTCATATAAGGTTACCCCCTCACCCCATTATCTCCTGCAACACCCTCCCTCCCATCAAACAGACACAAACAGACTACTCACACCCCCCACTCTCTGCGAGTGCTCTCAGAGCCATTATCATAATGCCATGCATCAATAATGCAAGTCAATACATTAATAACGCTAGCCTGCAGCATGAGGGGTGGTGAGGGAGGCATCTGAGGTGGAGGGAGGAGGGGGGCACAGAAGGTCCTTTCCTGGCTCAACATATCACAACAGCACTTTCACCTCGGGTCCAACATTCAATCCTTTGCTTTGTTTTCAACACCCATAAAAGGACTCCTGAGCTTATCGAACTTTGGCTACTCTGTGTTTGTGTCCTTTAAATATTTTCCTGGACATGTTTGTGTGTGTGTGTGTGTGTGTGTGTGTGTGTGTGTGTGTGTGTGTGTGTGTGTGTGTGTGTGTAAGAATGAGCCATTAGTTGCTGGCTGAGAACTTGTCTCCATTCCAGCTCAACAGCTGTATGTGTTCTGTTTCATCTCCACTCATCTGCTCATTCATCAAACCTCCTCCTGTTGTTTCAGTTGGCTGTCCTTTTTAGCACATCAGCAAAGCCCCTGTTAACTGTCTGCAAAAAAGATAACCTGTCTCTTATAAATGAATGCTTGTATATATAATATATCAACTGAGGGTGATAAACCTAAAACACTCACAAAGACATGTAATGGGTGGGAGTTGATGTTAAGGAACAATTAGGAAGAAGGCCTGTGAGTAATAAACACTTTTTGTCACACAAGTTAGTGTTAACTCCTTAGAAAAAAATTAAAATAAAAAATAGATAGGCCAGAGGTGCAAAGAAATGTCTGGTGTATGTAGTTAGCCAAAACAAAATTCTGTGGGTGAAAAAGGCAGGGAGTTAAAAATTAATAAATAAGATAAAATATAACAGTCATCTCATTTTTACCTTATGATCTTATTTTATCAGCTGTAGCAAAAAACAAATAAATATGAAAACAAGACCCCTATAAAAGAGTTTTAAAATAGCACATGATGGCTACATAGATAAAATAATGGTAAAGATTTAGGCTGAAGCTACATATTCCAGGCAAAACATCGGCATCCTCACCAGTTGATAATCTGTGTATAGTAGAGGACACGGAGATAAAGAAACAGCATTGTTTTGTAACATATCTGACTTGACAATTTGCACAAGTGTCTGAAAACCAAACAAACAGGGACGCCTCTCATCGGCCAAAGACTCAATGTAATTAAAACCACTTGTAATGGATGTGGTGTCATATTCTCAATGCACCGGATTTTAATTTTCACACAGCAAACTCTGTAATCACATATTAAGTTGTCAGAAGACTTGATTACTCGTAGGTGGTTAACATGGAAGTCTTTCCTAAACCAACCATTCCATATGATGTGAGCACATCATTATCATATGTGAGCACCAAACCTTGTTTAGCTTCACTTACATAAATGAACAAGTAAGCCAGTGTTTGAGCATTACTGCTTGTATTTTAAAATGAAATGTTTTAATGGCATGAAAGAAAAGGTCGGTTCAAGGCTAACCCATGTGTTTGGCAAAGTCTGAAAATCTGATGGCGTCCAGCTTCCCAAAATCCAAAAGAGCAAGACAACTACTATCCAAACTCTATACTCCCACTTTACTAAGTACACCAACTAATGCAGTCTAATACAACAGTCCTGAAAGGAATCCTACCTCTGTTTTTCAGTTTCTGTTGAAACTGTTACAGATAGGTGTTGATTCAAGTGTAAGATGATTTCAGGAAGATGCAGCCTCTGACGCTGTCACACTGTAGTGCATTATACTGACATTTCTATTATTTTGTCCACCGCATTTATACCAGTTAGGATTGGCTAAACAACAGAAACACCTCTATGTGTTGTAGCCTATTAGACTGCATTAGTTTTAGCTAGGTGTACCTAATAAACTGTCGACTGAGTGTATAGAGAGTATTGCAGCCTCGTGTACACTGTTTGCCTACAGACCGACTGTAGGCTGCCTACACTGTTTTGGACTGGGGGTCAGTGAAGAGTCAGACAGGTCAAAACTTGTTAAAACACTTCTGCATAGTTCAGCTCTATTGGTTTGCATTACAGATCTAATCAATATATTTGAAGTGTTCTTAAAATATCATTATAATGTTATCTGATGGAGAGCTATGCTCTGAATTTCTTCTTTTTCCATGAGTCAGTGCAGAGCCTGTCTGGGCACTTGACAGTTCTGAGAGCCTCTCACTGTCTGTTTGTTCATGTCCGAGCAAAACAAGTTCTGCCAGACTGAAAACAATCACCCTGAAAACCTCCATGTTGGGAAACCAAACACAGAAATCTCAGCGATACAGCTGATTGAAGTTATTTTGCGTCTAACATATGAAGATTTTAGAACAGTTGAACAGTTTATGAGCAGTCTGGCACGTTAATGTTTTTATATTAGAAAGAATATATTATCAAGATTCTTGATCTGAGAGACACTTATCAATGCACACACCATTCCAAAGATGCTCCCAAAACAGAACTAAATAATTGTCTACATGTTCACAGTCTCTGTGACTTCTCTCATGACCTGAAGTCTGAATCTGGTGTGGGCCTCCTTGGCTCATGGTTTGCCATCCCTCACTGACCTAGGGTAGTTTATTACTACTTCCTGGCCTGGAATACAGTATAACTAGAGAATTTATACAGTTAGCAAGGAAAACTCTGGGAACAGCTTAGGATCTGGCTCCGGACCAACCATGGCCTCTGCAAGCGCAGGCTGACCTTTGACCAAAAAAATCATAGGGTAAATATTAATTTACACTCAAGCAGCAATGTATACACAGGGGACTTTACAAATCCATTTGAGCCCTTCAGTCATTAGTCATGTTTACAAAATCTAAATCCACACTGTGGCATCTTAACCAGTGTCTTATACTTTAAGTATCCTCCACTGCATTTTTTTTTCTGCAACAAATTTGGACCTGGTTCCACCCTTGTAGCCTCTCAACATCACTGTCTTCACAAAGTCTTTTAGTCCAGCTCCTCTCCCTATATGGTAAGGGCTGTGAAGAGGGCAGCAATGTTGGAGCACAGTTACAGTAACTCTGGCATCTCTAACATCTACAGTTAGTTCTTAGTCCCTACGATATGCAGCTCAATCAGCGTAAGGCTTTACATTTATATTACAATCATTAGGCATATTTTGAGAGCTTTTATTTTTGACACATGTACACAGTTGTGTAATAATAATAATAATAGTAATGTTGGGCTTAATTTGTTTCATCTCACCACAGATGAGAACAATACCTGTAAACAACAAAAATGGAGACAGGTGTATCCTATAAAAAGTGCAGCACAAAAATGAGCCTGACCTGCTACTGATGAAAACTAAACTGAAATTACTTTAGTTTTTGTTGATTAAAATCAAAATATTCATCACAAGACTAAATCTGGTGTCAAAACTAGCTCTACTGAGTCGATCTATCTATCTGGTGATTGAATTTTCATGTAGTGGGAATATCAGGTCACTATTTCATTATGTGGAAGTACAGCCTCAGAATTACTAACCTGGCGACTAAAGGAGGCGACTTTTGTTCATATGTCTGAGTTATTTAATTACTGTAAGATTCACTTCTGCTGTGGAGAATTACATAAAAAAACTTTTAGAAAGGGATGATGTCCGAACTACAACTAACACAACAACTCAAGAAAAGACAACGCTATAGCAACTTTAAAAACCTAGTAATTTCATACCAAAACAAGATTGTTTGGCCAAAACTACAAAAAGCCTCATCATGTCCAGATTTATTTACTCGACAGATTTATTTTAGCATAATTATGGATCCTGATTCAGCACTTTAAAGGATTAAAAAAACTGCCAGGACAGTAAACACAGTTGAGGATTTGTACAAGCAAGACTTACAGAGAGAATGTCACAGTGATGGCAATTTATTGTTTTTCTCTCAATTGAAACACTAAATCACTGTCACTGGTCATCAATACCTGAACTTAATACATGAAATGGCATGAAAAATGTGTGTTATGCATTCAGGCATGTGGCCAACACAGCTCATTCCTTAATGTTCAAGTGCACACATGTGGTTCTTTCTCCCTTTGCACCCATATGCACACGATAAATTGTGTGTGTACGTGACATTTATATGGCTGTTTTTTGCATTACTCACTGTCAAGACAGGGGACACAGACAGTCTGTGTGTCTCCACATGGTTGGCTGACACCCTCACCAGGTGGACACTGCTTGCAGCATTCCCCACTGGTTGTAAACTGGCCCGACTTGCATAACTCTTTATTCGCCAGAGCTCCAACCTGCCAATCATCAGAGAGATCATTCAAAGGGGGACAAGCGAAAGAACGTTTACATTCAGCTGCAAACATAAAATTAACACATAAAATGACTTTTTTTATTGTCTACAAAGAGCTAAACATTATATATTGTCTTAATCAAAGTCATGTGTAGCATTGTGCAATGTGAACAATTCAACCAGTGTTTTTCCTTCATTTAATACATTTCCAGAGGCACAAAGGGGAAAAGCAAATTGCAGCATTTCACAAGAAGAAGCAAAATAAGCAGAATTTCGTTTCCCTTTTCTAATACCGTTAAGCACCTTGCATCCCCTCAGATTTATTTTGGAACCACTAAACCAGTGGTTCCCAGCTGAGGGGTCAAGACCCTGGGAGGGCTGCAAGATAAGCCTGAGTGGCTCTGGGTTGATTAATGGGATAGGAAAATGCAATTTTCAGCTGGACAAAGTTGTCCGTTTTTCCAGGTTCTTTCTCTGCTTTCTGTGTTCTTGTGGAATATTAGATAGCCTTTCCTTATCAAGTTTCTCAATATATTCAAATGAAACACTCTACAGAAGTAAAGTCAGTCTTTGGATAAACTGCTCACAACCCTCCTGCAACCGCATCAAAAACAAACATGGTTTTATTTTGAAGGATCACAAGCCCATAAGTTTGGAAACCATGGGTCTTATCCACAACTTTAACCTGACTCCGCATCCTTATATGACTCACCTTAGACTTAATCTAACCATAACCTTAAGGCCAGGTGAAGCTGGATTAAATCCTTTCTGCATTTCCTAAACGGTAACTTACTGAGTGCTTTATCTTTGTTGTTGTTGACAAGTGAAGTTTGTATGTGCCTCTACCTATTCAAGTGTCAGTGTAGGAGAGTGCATACACACTTGTACTCATACCCAGGCCTGGAAGTGTCTGAGAGTCTGTGTTTATGTGAGACCTTTGACTTTGCCTTGCCTTTTACATTATATCCTTGTAAATCTAGCCTTTTTTTTTTTTTTGGTCTTTTGCACACTTTGATCTCCAAAGCAAACCTTGATGAAAGCAGCGATTGCCCTCTGACACTATGTCTCTCTTTCATTCCTTCCAGATACATGAGCAGTGATTGTTTTAGGCTATCGTATGTGAGGTTAAAATGTTCTTCTGGGCGGCACGGCGGTTAGCGCTGTTGTTTCACAGCAAGAGAGTTCTGGGTTCAAACCTCGGCCGACCTGGAGTTTGCATGTTCTGTCTGAGCAAGGGTTCTCTCCAGGTCCTCCAGCTTCCTCCCACAATCCAAAGACATGCAGCTTAGGTTGACTGGCAGCTCTAAATTGCCTGTGTGAGTGTGTTAGCTATTCTAACTGACACTGATTCCTACCTAGATCAGGTCAGACTAAGAGGAAAGGATTTAGTAGAAGAGGTAAGAGCGCTAAATCATTTACAGTTGGAAGTCATGGTGGTGATGTTAAAGTCATGGGACTGTGGTGTTGTTTCTTTAAAGCCTAACAGTAGCTTTTTACATCTGGCAATTGTATTTGGACTTCAAAGATGATAAAAGCAGTGTTCACTTGGGAAGATTGTCTTGCTGAACAAAATGTGTGTCATACATTGTTGATTGCCACAGAGCTTATTTTCTGCAATAATCCAAAAGCCTATGGAAAAATCCCATTGGCTTTTTGTCGAGGGAACCAGGGCGATGTCAACTTCTGGGTTGGCCTACAAAAATACATGTTCCCTACAAAACTCTATGTGGTTGTGCAATACACTGTTTTGAATATACAGCGTCAAGAGCTGTGTCAATTGTGTTTAATGCAGCCCTTGATGACTCTGACTCAGGTAATGGGGACTTTTGCCCTCGACTCAGAACCCTTTCTGTCTCCCTTTCACCACAGCACTTTCTCTTCCTTTCAAGACTCATAGGGTTATTCTTTAGTGACTTGGGCTTGACCCAGACTCGAACACTGGGGACTCGAGACTTGACTTGGACTTGAGATTTAGTGACTTGACTACAACACTAATTCACACATTCATAAGCAACATGTGAGTCAATCTGCTCTTTGCAGGTCTGAACACTGAAAGCTCTAAACATGTGAACAGTTTGAAGGTGTGCATGCATGTGTGTATGTCGAGGGATACCATAAGGATGTGCACTCAACATAAATCGGCAGGGCTAAGGTTTGTGTGGAATGTTGCTGACCAGATAGAGGAGGCTCTAGAAACCATCAAGTGTCCCCTCAGGCACCTCTGAGTCAGCTGGCAGATAATGTGTGTGAGAGAGAGTACACACTCAAACATGTCTCTCTTTTGCCCTTGATGGTGTCACAGCCCATTCACCTTCAAGTCTTTGGTATTCAGTTATCCGTGTCTAAGAATGGCTCTGTGGGGAAACCTTTGAGTTGAAATGTTTATTACAACCTCCCAGATCAGATCTGAACATTTTGCTGAAAGATTTTTGGGAAGGGAGGCAATGTTTTAGGTTTACTTTGATGAACTCGGCCTTCTTTTAGAGGCTTTGACCTTACTAAACTAACTAAAGAAAAGCTGATGTTCAAGATGTGACACTCCCACTGTGCAGTAGCATACTTTCAAAATGTTTTACTACCTGTCATTCTCAGAACTTCATTGACTCAGAACCCTTTCTCTCTCCCTTTCACCACAGCACTTTCTCTCCCTCACACGCACCGCAGGCAAAAAGACATTTGGTAATTAATCAAATGTGTCACTGCACACACTCTTGCCTGCTTCCCTTAACTGCCCCCTCATATTGCCTACTGTACACACCCATCAGCACACATACATTTGCACAAATGCATAAACAACCTCACATGTGAACAAACCTGTTTTAAAATATCTGACTGACACTTCTGAAATGACTCCAAGTTCCAGCATTTGACTTTTACTCTTTTTTCACTGACAATAATCTAGCTCCAGGTGTGGGTGCAACACCTAAAGGTCCCAAAGCTCAAAAACTGAGATGACAATGCACTGCTATTGGCTGCTAAATTGCACATAACCATGAGTTAGAGGGTAAAGTGATTTCAGCAAACAACTGGTGGAATGAAAGGACAAGATGTACAGAACTCAGCAAGTTGTAGCTTGACTTGTAATTGGGTCTTTTAGATGGGAGTTTGAGGGTTGATCTCTAACTTTTATCAGCCTTAAGCTAAAACAAGAAGTGAGGTAATCACACACTTTTCAGCAACAAGCACATACAAATGCACGCTCAGAATTAACTGAGCACATAACTTCAGAGCTCCAGCCAATCTTACTAATGGTCCAGTCAATTTTCTGTTGGAGGCACTTAACCTCTGGACCTCAACTGTCAACGCTTGTTAAAGCCATTAGAGCTCCACTATACCAGTCTTCCAATGAGCTGGGCTTAATTTACTCCAAGCGTAGATCCTGACACTATACCAGTCTTCCAATGAGCTGGGCCTAATTAAATCCAAGCGTAGATCCTGATCTGCTGTGGGAACACTGGTGGCAATGACATTGCAGCTAATCCCTTCCCAAACAATGCTGAATCGTCATCTCTGATGAAGTGAGAGGAAGAGACCAACAGACAGAGAAAGGGGAGAGTGACATGGGGACAGTTCAGGCAGTATGAATATTGCATTCCTTGAGCTAGCAGAGGATGAACACCCATCAGTGGGAGCAGCTGTCATGTATCAGTGATGCAGCCTGTTCCTACACCAGGACCTTGACAAGCCTGCAGCCCTGCCTGACCATGTCCTGTCAGATAAGACACTGAGAAAAAGTATTTCCTCCCTGTACTTTATGTCCACAAAGGAACATAAATCAGGGAGCTTAAATGATCTTGGACTCCCCTAGCTTTCTTTTACCCTTTTGAGATCCTTAAATGATCTTGGACTCCCCTAGCTTCCTTTTACACTTTCGAGATTTTTGCTTTTGATGTGGTTCCTCCTTGGCCAGAGCTTGGGACTCTAGAGTCTGCCAAAAATGAGAAATGTTCAATACATTCACCAAACCCCTCATCAGTTACCACATGGCTTATTGGTGAGCTCTTCCACAGAGGACACTGCGGCATTGTTATCCTGCTGTGTGTAGGGCCACGTGTAATAGAGAAGGGTGGAACTACAGATCCAGCAAGTTGAGCTATAGAGTATCATCCTGGACGGTTCAGTTCTGTATTTCAGCCACAGATTATAGGCAAGACAGGTGCAAAGACACGGACTATTACTTTCAAGGCCCCTGTTAAGATCACCGAATGATATTTTACAAGCATATTAAAATACTAAATGTAAACTGCTATAAAGAAAGGTAAAGCCAGGGGAAAGATGCAGGGAAAAGATTAAGAAAAACTCTGTCACAAACTCCCACCGCTTAATAACCCCCTTTTCCCAGTTACTGTGGATGCGCGATTGCACAGGTGTCGCCACAGAGCGTCACAGGATTTATCCAAGTAAAGTTTACGGTAAACATTAAACACGCTTCGATTGAGGAAAAGGCGACTTACCACTCCAAGTAACACTATTATGAAAGCGGAATTCATCCTGCAGCTTCTTTGCATCTCCCCTAGAAGGGTCAACGTTTGGGTTAAACACGGGAGGATGCGGGTCTCACTGACTTCGAAGTGAAATCAAATCTGTCATCTCTGCGTCTTTTTGCGCTTCTGCTTTTTTGGTTTTGCCGTGAGAAAATAAACTCTCCAAGTAAATCTTCGCTACAACCTGTGTATCGCAGCGGGAAACCACTCAGTCCATAAACTCTGGCTGCCGACAGAATCCAGTCAGTGCGTAAACTCGCTGAGATTGACCCATTGGATGTTCGGCTCTGTGCGCTTTTTCATTCTGCGCTCTTGACAGGAACGCTCAGCTCATTGACTTCAGATAATGAGCCATCTCGCTTTCCACGCCCACACACATGGACCTGCTCTCTCTTTAACAGCCTAAATCATGGTCGGAGATGTTCTTTCCGAGTCAGACAAACCACCCATCAAACAAATTACGTCTTGTCTAAATCATCTATTCAGCATGTGGTTTACAGACGACACTGCTCCAAAAGCCTCAGTTTGTGTTACTTTTTCTCCTTCTGTTGAACAACTTGCGAAACTAAGAGCGATCCGTGACATTGCTGTCTGTTTTTGCCTTGAGATTTAGTGTCCCTGAAGCACTGAACTGATCTTATCAGTGCCTGAAAACAGCAACCACATCAGCAGAGCTCAGAAAGACTTACCTCTGTGAACAAACCTGTGAATAAACCTTATATAACCTAAAAGCCTGCCATGGGCATCAACATGTATGCAACAACTGAATAAAACCAAAAGCAAAATTGAATCATACTCTGTTATATTTACCTCTAAACCTCTCACCACACCACTAATTCAGCCTAACTTTGACACATGAAAACGATAGTGTTATCTCCCTGAGACCCCATGTTAAATAGCATTGTTCTTATCTGAAACACTACTGTCTTTATGCACAAGAAGAGCCAGTCTACTGCTGGGCCAGGCCAACACCTCAGGTAAAATGTCAGCCTAATATAAAACCTGGAGCACGTCATGTTCCGTTTGGGCTCATGTCATGACTATATATGTCACTCCATTCAGTATGTTGAAGAACAGGTTGATTCAAAAGAATGACACAGTTGTTTGTTGAGGTTTATTAGTGGATGTGTTCCAGTTTTCTTCATCTTCAACTTACGTTCCCTGCAGCCAAATAAATGCTGTTGTAAGTCTCTATATTTTTCTTTCACTGGAGTTTAATGGAATAATGGTTCTGGTACAGCCTGAATGATATGCTATAAGGCACCGAACTAGTTGGTACTCATGCCTGGCACAATATTAAATGTCATTATGGAGAATTACTGCGATTATTAACTATTAGATTTTTTTTAAGGTACTGCAGCCCTTGTACATTTGTAGTTTTTGATGGTCATATATTGTTTAAGTAGATAGTGAGATAGTGTTGACAACTAACCACAGCTGTAATTCATGTTTTTACACTGTGTTGCTATAAAGGTTTCACTATAGGTCCTGACCTGACTGAGGGTTAACAAGTTAATCTGTGGTGTCATTTCACTTGGAATGAAGGCATAAGATGCAAAATTATGCATGTTTCACCCAGGTCTGGTGTTTACATCCAAGTCTCACTGGGCTCAGCTGTTGCAGTCAGATTACTGTCGGTTTTACAGACTCATTTCTTTTGTCACCCTCGGCATCACTGAGCTTGATGATAAAAAAAAAAAAGGTGCACGTTGTATGTATCATGTTGATGGGGCAGTGATTTATATAGATTGTAGAATGACTGAGGGCAATGGGGGACATGGAGGAGAGAGAGGGAGCTGGATCCCTATGGGTGGATAAATAATGCATGAAAGCAACAAGAGAGACAGAGAGAGAATCCATTTCACTCATGTGGAGCAAAATAAATGAATCTAATTTTCAGTGAGGCCTGTGTAATTCATTATAAAGAAAAACTGCTGATTCTATTTGAAAAACTTTACAATACTTGCAATCAGAGCACACTATGAGAATGTTAACCTCAAGCAATCTGTTTAACAGGAGTACAGACTGGTCTCCTCTGTTGGTGATGAAAGAAGTTGTTTAAACTTGTATTAAACCTTTTAGTGGGAGACTATAACCGGCCAATAATAATTCAAATTTCCAACTCATGATCGTTAATGCTACTTTCCCTTTAGCTGTCTAAAAAGCAAATCACATTTTGTTGAAATAAGACTGATAAATATGGAAGTGAAACAGCCAACCAAGCAATATTTTGGACTTCAGTTTATTTTTGGAACCAGGCTTTTTTGCATTCACTTGTGTACAGAGAAGAATAAAACAGCACAGAGCAGCAGACATGCATTTTTATAACATGCTCATGTGAAAACAAATCTCTGTTTGTCACATGCAACCAGATACAAGCACATGGATACACACATAAACACTCACATACTGACCATCTGCCACCATGAGCAAACAGAGGATGGGTGGTCCAGGAGGCATTTACTGTCCCATCTCAAGTTCCGAGAAACGGATTCTGTTCCAGGTGGCTAGCCCTGAGGAGTGTGTGTATGTGTGTCCATCTATCTGAGTCATGTTTGTGCATGTCCCCTGTTTATATTTTATGATTATATTTCTGTGTGTACAACCTCAAAATGTGAACATTTCTGTTTCTTTAGCAGCACTGACCTGGGAAGAGGAGACCACCTGTCACTCTATCATCAACAGCAACAGAGGAACATCTACAGTGTTCTTGCAAGCTTTCCTTCTAATGTACTGTAATAGATGGAGAGCCATCATATGATGAGCCAAGGAAGCCCTTAAATTACTCTGAGAGCACTCACACCAATAACTGGCGTGAGAGTGATATCATGTTGTGTTTAGAGAAAACTTTTTGCGCACTGCAGTGCCAGCAGTGTGTTCCTGTTAGGGTTACACAGTGTATTTGGAAAACAGCAATGAGTATATTAAAGAAATTATGTGCATTTAAAGTTTGGTCTGGTAATGCAGTGCAGATATCCTTCATATCACTAAGTGCCTGATTTGGGGATAATAATTGGACTTATTTTGCACAATGCCAGAGTGGACCTCATACAGGCCAGATGGCAGCAAACCTCCCATCTTCCTGTGTGACTCTGCACTTTATTGATCTGATATGTCTGATCCACTTTGTTTTGTCTTACTGTACATCGTGTCCTCCATCCTCTGTCTTATAAAAGATGTATTACAAATGCCAATAAATAAGTTTCACATTAGAATTTGGTGAATATTCAGACTGATAAATCTGATTTCAAATTGACAACACCGAATATTGAAAAAAATCATTCTTTGCTTTTTTTTTAAACCAATTTGTCCTGTTCACAATCATTGCTGATTTATCTATTTAGATAAGAAGTTGAACACTTTCTTGGACATTTAACTAGGTCCACAAATGCACTGAAATTGAACTGACCACACAAAAACACATAGAAGAATGTAATAATAACTATACACAAATATGTATGTTTCTTTTGCTGCTAATATTACTGAATTTCTCTAAGACCTTCTCTCCAAAATGTGGAATGAATGGATGTTTGTGTCTCATCTACTGAGAAACTTGTGACGCAGCCTTTCAAGCCTGACCTGACCTGAACCCAGTGATGGCATTAACAGGAGCTCCACAGTGTCGATGTCATGTCATGGTATGGTAAGAAACGATCTGTGGGTGTGTGCCTATACTTATTCTGTACCTTCCATGCATAAGGTCTGAGGCTCCATGTAGTATTAGTGTAAAACACTTTTGTAAAACACCCACTAGATTATTACTATAAATAATGAGTTTAAACATCTCTGGTGATGTACTGAGCAGAGCAGTCACTGAAAGCACTGAATAGGCCTTTGTATTGATGAGCTTCTGGGCAGACACTGTTCAGTTTAACACACTGGGGTAAAAATGAGCCTCAGGCAGCTGACTGTCAGTGTAGCCCATTATGTATTCAGCAGCACAGATATATGGTTGATAGCAATTGCAAGCAAATACCTGCTCATAAACAATAGTAATCTGCTAAACTCAGACACTGAAGTCACTGAGGTACATATTGGTTTATGTTTTACCATATGGTTGTCAAAGCTGGCCCGGTAAATCTACAGATCCATGAACTGAACACATTATTTTCACCTTTTAGAGAGTTTATAGGCTTGATCATCTTTATGGTAGAAGCCACATATCAACTTATAGGCTGCATGTATTAAAATTATGGTAACAAACTGAGTCTGTGACTCAACTTAGCTTTCAAATTTATAATTCAGTTAAGGTAAAATTTGAAATGTATATTCACTTTATTAAACTGACCGACAGTAATGATGGCTTGATGATATCATTTAAGCTCATTTCTATGATCATTTACAGGGTGTTCTTTTACTTTGTAATTTGGTTGGTATTTAGAGAAAAGGTTTTTGTTAATAGAAATTTCTGCTCTGCCAAATAAGGAAATTTCACTTTTCTTTGTTGACTAATGAAGTCTCAAATATAGTGTAGCATAGGAGCCAGAGACAGAAGTTGCCTTTTTCTCCTTGATTTTTACACACACACAGGCAACTGTACCAACAACCAGAACAATCCCCACCAACCCTGAACTAAATACATCCTGCTCAGAGGGGCATTATGGGGGATCCGGCCAGGTGCTTTTCCCCAAGGCATTCTGGGTGACCTGCCAAGTGTCTCTGTGCCTCAATGCTACAATGCATTATGACCTTCAGTGCTGGTGTAAGTCACATGTGTCTCCAGGATAGACTCTAAAAAAAAAAAACAATCTGGATGACACCAGAGTTTGTCAGCTGACTAACTAGTCCCCAGTTAATACAGTAAAATGACCTAATGGGTTTATATTGACATTTTTTAAATGCCTGCATTGTTATGTGCACCATATATTTTTTATCCTTTTACAACATAATTTATGTTTACAATAAAGAAACCAGCCTAATCATGATCATTATTATAGTAAACAGACACATAATGAGTCTGCCATGACTGATACAATGCTGCCCCCTGCTGACCATCATCTAGTAGTGCTTTTTAATGTTCATAGAAAAATAATGTTCATCTACTGTATGTATAAGGACACATCAAGCTCTGGTAAATATTGTGTTCTCTAACAAAAGGAAATATCAAATAGTAAATACCTTTTCAAACAATAAAACTCATGTTGTCTGAATGTACAGAATGTGTTTTCTGTAAGTTCTAATTAATAGAGGTACAAGAATACACACACACACACCCATACTTATCCTATGACTCTTACAGTCATTAGTTGACACAGTACATGAATGAATAAAGTTTACAGGTGACTTAAAAAAACAATAGAGCATAAAGCTAGTATACAGAATGAGAATAAAACCTGTGTGATATCCAGCACCCAGTCATGCCTCACCTGTCCACTAGGCACCCTCAGTAGGTTTCTCTCCACTGATCACCTGACATCTCTTGCCACCTGCCTCCTGCCGGCAAAGCTGCTGCTCCTCGACTCTTCACCTCCTCAGTATATATGCAAGTATACAAGTCAGTTTTCCAGATGCTTTTTTCCAGATTGTTGTCTGGCTGCCTCCTGCCTATTCCCTCTGGCTGCATGTTGCTGATGTCCTGTGTGCCTGCTGAGGTCTGGAGTTTTATGCCCGATCCCTTCCTGCCTACATGTAACCAACTATCAGCCTGATCCTAACGTAGTAAGCTCCTTTTTTTCTTCTTCTTCTTGTCTTCTGTTAGGTCAGCTGTCTACATTTTTGTACAGTTTTGTGATGCCTGCTGCTAAAACCTGTTACCTCTGGCAGTAAAGGAACTCCGGTGTGATGCCAGACTTTTGAATAATAACACAAACACACATACTAAGGGTTTGGCCAGCTGTCCTCTTGTGTTTTCTGTTACAACCAAGATAATGATCTGTGTAGGTAGCACAAAATTATACTGCACATATACATTGACTGGCCACTTTATTAGGTACAACTGTATAATTGTATGAGCTTTAATGCAACACTTCCACCTTACCATCTGTATTTATGAAGCTCAGAATGTTTCAGTTTCAGTCAACACCAACATTAACTATGACCTTAATAATAAACATAATTACATTTATACATTTATGACAATTTCACCAAAAACTGAACCATTCTGAGCTTCATAAACTTAGATGTTAAAGTAGAAATGTTGCATTGAAGCGAATATGTCTGTACAGGTGTACCCACTAAAGTGGCCTGTGAGTGTACATGTCAACACTTATACATGTAAAACACTTTTATTATCCATACTATCCTTATTGGCCTTTTGAAATTAAAAGCAGTATAAAAGAACTGGACAAAGTAGATATATATATTTCCATATAAAGAGAAATTATTTGTAAATGTACTGTTTATCACTGTAAAATGTTAATTATTCAAGTGAGGCATAATCTGATGTACGATCTAGTGCAATTGACAGTTGACACATTGGCACACATTCACTACACGTAGCCACTCCTGCTGTCATCCTGCCAGTACACTCTTAGAATAACACGGCAATTTGTCACATCAGCACCAGGCACACAGGGTAACCACAACAATGTCAACTATAGCGCCTCTGGCTTAAATCTCAGTGTTAAATCTCTTCCACTGGAATCGTTGAATTATTTTATTTTATCTAGTTAGCAGCATTAATTTCATTTGTTGTTACTCCACTGTGTAATAACATGCATGTCAAACTAAAACGCCTATCAAATTTTGGAGAAGATTGAATCTTACTGAGAGTGTGTGTCTGCGGCATGCTTCTAAAAAAAAAACAGCCTTTATTGTTTGACAGTACTTTAATCAACCACTAGACTGAAAGCAAAACACTTTGTCAGTTCTAAAGTGTGAAGTTTTGCTCTAAAGATGAAATTATGTGAATTAAGAAGCAACCTTGTATAATACTTTCATCAATAATGATACAGATACTGTGAACCCTCTGCTGTCCAGTTCAGTTCATATTTTGTGTACCTCTTCACAGCCTCACTGTGGCCCTTTTTAACTGTAACTTTTATATCCACATTTCTGTGACCATCTACCTGTGGCCCCTGGCTGGGTGTGGTACGGGTGGAGGGGTTAGGGAGCAGGGTGGGCTCATATTCAGTAGGCTAGCCCCTTGTGTGAACCAGCATCCCTGTGCCCTTGGACAGCTTTTACCTTTGTCCTGTCCGAGCAGAGGAAGGTGGGTGTTGGTGCCTTTAAACACTGTTCTGAGGTCAGTTAACAAGTTAACAGCTCATTACATGACTCCTGAACATACCGAGTGGTAATCAGAGGGTCATAATGAGTTTTGACAAGGGTGGAAAGTTTCTACTGTTGTGCTTCATAGCGTCTTAACTTTGTGCACACATTAAACTGTGACAGTGTCGTTTGGAAAATATCTTCATGGGTGATTTATTAACTTCTCTGGAGAAGCTACGGCACCAGGAGTTGTACTTCCACTGTTATTATGACTGACAGGTTACTGTAACTGATCGTCTCATATCACATGAGCTATTCAAAACACATTAAAATGAATCGGTGCCATCGCCAAGTGAACAAAATAAAACAAACTCTACTTATAGAAATAATGATGCATCAGAGCTGATGAGCTGCGCTGATGTCCTCTCTTAATAGATTATACAGTTTAAATACATGTGGACCAAACATTTTACTCATAAAACAATGAAACTGCTGCATTTGTTGAATTGTGCACTTCATATGGGCAAGTAAATATGACTCATTTTGCCCTTTAATTCATATAGTACTGTGGTAAATTAAATGTTACTTTACCAAATATAATGAATGAGATATTTCTCATAAAAATAAGATACCAACTACAAATCTGAGGCACTTGTTCTTTTCTTGATTGTTTTTATTGTATACCACTTTATATTTCTATTTAACTACAATTAAGAAGGAAATATTGTAATTTTTTTTTTTTTTTTGCTTCAGTTAAATGACATTTGAATAGTTAAAATTAGCTTCAAGGTATGAGGTACTGAAACTTGCCCCTGAAACTGTAACTGACCACTGCTTCTGAAAGACACATGTAAGAATGCTTATGGTCTTATGTATATGTATGCAGGTGTGCAGCAACACGTGTCAGTGTGTGTATACACTATGTGTGTATCTCGGATAAAATCTCTAACAGAGGAAACACACGGCGTGATAGTTACTGCAATAACACATAGAACATGGTGTGTTAAAGTTGTCCTAGACAGTCTGAGTCACTGTGACTGGAGAGCTGAGGAAAGCCACAGTGAATCATTGTCATCTGTGACACCTTTTGTTGACTGAATGGCATGCCGCTATGTGTTACAGGCAATTAACGTTACTGCTGACTTACAGTATCAACCGGAGATACAGTGAAGGATTTTGGATAAAATGGATTCTGACCAGGTGCCCGACACAGTAGGTGAAATCATACACGCACACAGGAACAAACATTGGATTAAGTCCACATGCAGACAGAGATCATTTTTAGGTTTAAATTTACTTTTGTTGCTTTTATGTATTCATTTTTCTTCATTTATTCATGTACATACAAACATATTTCTCTCATTAAAAAAAAAAGAAATCACATTAGTATACAGGATTTGTATACCTGAAGTAGGTCTATGCAAGTTCTTTTTTGTAGCATTCCAACACCTAGTAGAGTTTATTACCCAGATGAGCATTTCATACTTGAATCTACTTAAAAAAAGAAAGTTGCATTATGGACAAAGAGAAATCTCGCATTTCTGGAGGTTCATCCACAGTAAAAACTTAAACCCAGCCTCAGTTGTTTCTTTTTTTTTTTTTTTGTTACTTCTGCATTTTGTGAATGCCACAACTTTATAAGAGCAGAATACTAAATTGCTGGGATATCCCTTTAATAAAAGGAAATGGAATGAAATGTTACTACTGTATGAAAAATAATAGTGGTTCTATCTGTTTATTTAATTTTTTTATTTAACAGAGCAAGAATGAAGAGGCCTCCATTTACATCCCTGGCAGAGGGTAAGTCACCTTAACTCTGCTTGTTTTTGTTTTTTTATCCCTGTCATACGCTGTGCCACAAGTGACTAATGTTACATTTAAGAACTAGTTACCTCTTTCTTGTCATGTTTCAGGCCTCAGTTTCAGGCAATGGACAATTACGAGATGCTGACCATCACAAAGGAAGAAGAACAAGAGACGACAAAAGCCGACTCCAACCAAAGTTTCACTCTCTACCCTGATGGTGCTGAAGGTGAGCAGGAAGGCGCTGTAATCCAAGCCTTTGTTGTCGTCCAAACACAGACATTAAATATGATAAGATGCAGGTGGATAATGACACAGTGTGACTGTGTTTTCTCCACAAAGCAAGCCCCTGTAGTTGCTGTCAATATTACGGGTGAGATCAGAAGTCATTGCTCTGTTGGATGTGTGTTTCAGAGAGCATTAGAATGTGTGGGTCCATGTCTGTGTGAGTGTGCATGTATGTATTAGTCCCTCCCCTTTCAGCCAGCATGAACCCACACATACACAGAGAAATGCAGCTTGAAAGAGTTGGTGTTTGTAAAGTCACGCTCTTTTGCTATTCCGGGGTCAGTCACTTGTCACTGCTGTTGGCTTTTGGCAACTGCATGCGGGAGGTAAGTGTCACCTTTTCCGCTACACTTATGAATGGTATTTGTGCAATAATGCAAGTAAAGCTGTAACTTTGTAGCATGAAAAATATGGGTGCAAGGCACTTCGGGGGAACTGCACACTGTTATTGTTGTCTTATGGTCAGTACTGCAGTAAGATGAATTTCATTCCTTAATACTAGATTTTCTAAGTTTTACCCACATGAGGCCTGAACTACAAAACCTTGCAAAGTTTATATTAAAGTAAGACCCAGAATGCATTGAAGATTGCAGGTTTTATGCCTGCCTGAGAGGATGATAGAGCATGTCCAGCATGACTGAATATAGAACATTAGTGTTTAAATGTCTTGCTGAGATTTAATGATGCAAGAGAGTGAAAATAATGGCTGAGTTGTGTTTCAGTGAGTTAGAATCACACAAAACCTGTGCAAAATGGAAAAAAGAAAATCTGCCAATGAAATGATGTAAGTGCAGACATGTTTTCCTAATCATTATAAATGCATAACAACAACTAATAAAACAAATGAAGTTTTGAAAGTTTTATTTTTTGAAACATTTACACAGTAAATATGCATTTTTCTTAAAATGAGTATGTGCGCCAGATTGATACACAATTTTACATGCATATATATATATATATTTTAATTCTATTTATATACCTTTTATAACCCTTCACTTAAATCTGCAAATATATACTTACAGACACATGGGCGCACGTGGCTCCGGGCAGGTGACAAATTACAGGAAAATCCTGAGTAAATGGAGAAACATAACAGATGCTTGGCATGTTTTGGGTCCACTTAGTGGGAAGAATCACTGGAAATCTATATAAAGCTGTTCTGAGTGATCACCTTTATTCTATGATGAAGCATTTCTAGGGCGACATGGTGGAACAGTGGTTAGTGCTGTCACCTCGCAGCAACAAGGTGCCTTTCTGTGTGGAGTTTGCATGTTCTCCCTGGTCTGCATAGGTTTTCTCCAGGTATTTCAGCTTCCTCGCAGAATCCAAGGACAGGAGTGAGTGTGTGTGTGTGTCTCTCTCTAAGTGTCAGCCCTGTGATAGACTGGCGACCTGTCCATGGTGTGACCTGCCTCTCGCCTGGTGTATCCTGATGGGAGTGGCTTCTTCCAGAATTCATAAGACATGAGGAAGCCATTGAATGCTTTGATGAGTCTGAAAATGTTTTAAATCATATGCTATGGCCTTCACAGTCACTAGATCAAAAGCCAATTTAACACCTATGATGTCTTAGCGCTTTCCAGCACCATCATCAAAACACCAAATGAGGGATGATCCTTTGGAAGAATACTTTTCCTACCTCCTATTGTGTTCAGAGACCTGTAGCATCAGTGCCAAGGTGCAGTGACCCTGCTATGGTGGCATGTGGTGGCCACACACCTTACTAAGACACTATATGTTGAGTTTTTCTTTCATTTGTCACCCGTTTGTATATACATCGATTGTGTATATATAGCAAGACTGTGTAAATTATGCTCACACACACATACAAGTATAGGTTGTAAACAGCTTCCAGTGTGTCTAATCCAACTCTTCCATCCTTTGTTCAGCTGTGTTTTGGAAATAAATCATTCTGTTGTCACAGACAACTTCAGTGCTCCAGCCCAATCTGATATAAAATGGAAACTCTGGAGATACAATGTCTTATATGAGACTAAAGTCATCTGCCAATTACAACCTGAATCTATGTTTACCATACAATTTATGTCTTTACTGGAAAATGTTAAATGAAACTACTGGAGTAATTTCTGGATTGCTAAAGTGTTTATGGAAGTCAGTTCAAAGATAAAATGGGGAACGTATTCTTAGTTAAAATTATTTACTGTGTTATTGGAATTGTTATTGGTCTTAGTGTTGAAAAACAGACTATGTTGTAACCGGGTCCACTGTGTCTGTCCCAGCTGCCTGGAATGTCAGCACCGGCACCAACCCCAGTGCAGAGTCTCAGGTAAGGGACACACATACACACTGTATCACAACTCTGGACACATGACATGTATTGACAGTCCAAACATGTCCAGGGCACACCATCAGTCATGTCCACACTGGAAACTAGCACTGGCCCAGAGCCTGGGGCCTGCTGGTTGATGAGACAGGATAACAACCATGTTTACCTTAGAGACACACCTGGACATCACCTTTCCACATTAGCATGATCCCTAACCACATTGGTGTTGCCAAGAACACAATAGAAACACTCCAGGTCTCTGCAGTGCAAAACAACACCCAAAAAATCATCTGTGTTTTTATGAGGTGCTGAAGCATGAATGTGACTTTTATCTCATCCTGCTCTGTAGAAAGGATGTCCTTCTGAGGGACTATGAGCCACGCTAAAGGACATATCTAATGCTCAGCTATTCTGGGACATGTAGGAAATCCTTACGCGATGTACAAATAGAAGGATCAATTTTGTAGCTTTATTTCTCTGGTACTGTGCTCGCTGCAAGTCACTCTTGGCAAAGGATTAAACTAAATACCTAAGATAATAAAATAATAATAAAAAGCAAATGTGAATATACACAGCAGCATAATACAAGAATTTCTGGCCATCAGCCATCTTTTTATTCACTTTCTACAAATTAATGAACAAGGCTGTTCTGTTTTGATCAGGCTTTTTAACTTTCCATTTTAACCCTGTTGTGGCTTATTGTTTTTATTCATTACATTTTAAAATAATTTTTATTTTGCTTATTTTAGCTATTAATGGTCCTCGCTGTGGTACATTATTGTTTCTTTTTAACCTCCATCTTCCTTGTTTGGTTTTACTGTAAAACACTGTGTGTTTAGGAAAGTGCTTCATTTTACTGAAGTATTTTTTATGCCTCTGCGCCAATGATAGCCGTGACTGGAGACATTATGCTTTTGGGTTGTCTGTACAATCCTTCCAGCCCATCTTTTTCATAATGCAACATCTGTACTAGAACTAGCAATATGTCTGATTCTTTGTTGAGCTGCAGTGAAGGAACAAAAAAAACCTGTTCACAAAAAAGACTGTAGCCTATCATTGGTGGAACAGGAGGAATATTTACAGCTATCAACCATTTTAGTGCACATGCATGTGAATGCTGATTTCAGTCAAATCATGTGAAATATCCTTTAGCCTAAAAAAATCTAACATTGACTTAATATAAAATCTATCTGAATTTAAAGTTTAACTCAAAATGAGACACAGTATTGAACGATTTGATATTTGCACCACTCATAGTGACACACCACTGAGGCAGAAAAGCAGTGAAGTAGTGAAACCACAGTTTTTCACCACAAGTTGTACTTGTGGGGGGGGTGTATCTTTAATTCATCCACCTGTCCTGTCCAAACTTTCACTATGTCCCACACAAGCATGGTTGTACTTGTGGGCCATGTCCATGTTAGCTGGTCTTTATCTCTGTGTCTCTTCGTACCTCTAGAGGTTCGTGGAGCTGAAGGAGCTAATGAAGGATGAGAAGCAGCAGAATTACTGGCAGGAGATGGGTCGATGGGCTGGCTATGCGGAAAGCTTTGACCCTCAGGCTGGGGTGTGGGCGTCCTCACACATCTCTCTCCTCACCTTCAAGAGCCTCATCCAGCTCAGATGCGCCATGAACACAGGTCAGTCAGGAAATAAAAATTAAATAAATGTAAAATCAAAACAGTTTCTTTGTTTTTTAAAATGTACTTAAGTAGTTTTTCAATTACTTGTATTTACTTGAGTAATTCCATTTTATGCTACATTATACCTTTTACTCTACAATACATTTACTCTATCTGGCATCTTTAGTTATTGTGCAGATTCTGATTATTACATTATTACAAAATATAATCAGCAAATGCATTGAGACATTATAATAATTAATTCTATCTAAGTAGCTAAACTTTAAACTGAAACATTAAAGTGATGCATCAATATAATATGTATCTTTCAAAAATTTGTCATTCTCCATAATGAGTACTTTTACTATTTGCTATTTCCCAAGTCCTGTATGTCAGTTTCACCATGGGGGTGCCAAAAGTGAACCCCGAAATGTTACAAGTTCTGACACTTTCAGCACTTCTTCCTATCTCTCATTTTGTCTGAACCTCCCCTCAAACCACAATCACACTGCTGTCCACATTATCCTCTCAATCACCTGTTCAATCACATGTTCATTTGTCAAGGTGTGACAATTTTTGACTGTGAAGAGAGGACCTGGGCCACCATTGCTGAAAAGATTGTCAAGGAGATGGTTAACAAGAAGGAAATCAGGCCTGGAGATCAAGAGGGAGTGTTGAACTCTCTGCTCCAAAACCGCAGGTACCCTCAGAGACATCACCCAATGGTGACTCAAACATTTAAGACCTACATTTATGCATTTAGCTGATGCTGTTATCCAAAGCTGTAAGTAAGAAGGGAACATGTATCTTGTGCAGAGAAAGTTGAACAGAGCACATAGCTATTGTGGGGATCTAACCTGTAATTATGAAACACTGTCTCTGACCACGAAGCCACTCTGCCTGTCTGCTTGAGGCTTTGGCGACCAGTGTGTACTGTAGTTACCTTGTACTTATAAAGATCAGGGAATCTAAAGTATCCATAAAGAATATGTACCATCACTGTATTTTAAAACGTTGTCACCAGAAAATGTTAAGATATTCAGTTGCTCCTTATTTCTAGCATTTATATAAAGATAAGCTAACATGGCTGCTAGCTGTAGGTTTACATTTACTGTACAGATATGAGAGGGGTATCAGTTTTTACATTTAACACATGGTAGGAAAGCAAATAAAAGTATTTCAAAAAATGTGCAAATATTCCTTAAACACCTTTTTTCAGGTCCTGTGAATAAACATAAATATTAGCTCGTGTGTGACCTCAATGCCCTCAGTGGTAGCTACTTGCCTGCTTTCTTGTCTTCTGCCCTTTATTTGTCTCTTTCTCTCACTTTCACTACAGCTTTCTTAAGATGGTCATCTCTTGCAAAGTTGACACGGCAAATAAAAATCTCTTTTTATTCCTCTTGAAGCAAGGCTTCAAAAATATTGGAAACAGGCTTCATGTCATTCAGTTAAAGATGAAACAGCCCCTGGTCTATTATGTAATTGCCTGTTTTGTTGATTGTTTGCTCACCCAGGTGACTTTACTCGCACACTCCTTTCTCATGTACAGGGGACAACGAAATAGTTTGCTTGTCTGTCATCTCAGTCAGTGATGCATAGTTTTCTCTGTCCAGTCAATCAGATGACCCAGAGAGACAAGCACTGACTGATGGGAAGGACCTGCAGAAGTTTTCAGTCAAAGATGGTGTAAGTATGAATGTACTATTGTTCATAACATGATCTGATATTGTGATAGTGGTTAGACAATGGCAATGAACGTGTTTTCTGGCATTTAGAAAGTCATTTACAGAATAAAATGGTGTAGATGTTTTATACATACATTTAGATTAGTTTTTCTGATTTCTGAATTAACTGACCTTTAAAAAAAACCTTTTTATAAAATTCTGGACATGTAGTTTTGATATTTTTGCAGTTAACACATTTTGCAAACATTATGCATTAGTAAGAATTTGAATATAAAGTTTCTCCTGGAAATATAATACAAAAATAAAGCTTCACAGATTTAATTATGAATTTAAACATACAATCTAAACCTATCTGCTGTTGTTTTAAAGTTGCACAGGTCATCAAAGGTAGCTCGGCATTAAAATTACATTTTTCTAAAATGTAGTCATAGTAATTAGGTGATGAAAGTCTGAGGTTTGCTCAGTAGTTTTGTTCATTGTGTGTTACTGCAGAGAGCTGAATCTGACCATGCTGACGCCTCCATGGTGCTAGTAGGTGAGTCATTGTTTGTATCATTATATTTAGGATCTGGAGTTTGCGTACATATCTGTTTCTGAGTGTTTGCATGCACATTTGAAATTGCGTATATATTTGTGTGTTAGTGTATTTTTAAATATAATATTTCCATTTCTCTTTGGACCAGGAGCCTTAGACTTTCTGGAGAGGCCTGCAGTTGTATTTGTGCATCTGAAGGAAGCTGTGGTGCTTGACTCACCCTTGGAGGCCCCGGTGCCTGTGTGCTTCATCTTTGTTCTGGTTGGCCCCAGCAAAACTGATATGAACTACCATGAAACTGGCCATGCTATGGCAGCCCTAATGGCTGATAGAGTGAGTTAACCAACACTTTCTACAGATGTGTAAGCCCAGAACACTATATATTTACATTAATGTACTAGTTTCTAAAATGATTGAGCATATGAATTTACATCTATACTCTCTCCATCCCAGGTGTTCAATCAGAGTGCGTTGCAGGCAAAGACTGCCCAAGAACTGATGCACGCTGTGGCTGACTTCATGGACTGTTGTATTGTTGTCCCACCTACTGAGATCCAAAACGAAGCTGTGCTCAGCTCCATCATCAGCTTTCAGAAAAAACTTCTGCAGGACAGATGTCAGCCATCTGATCTCACATTCTGCCAGGACTCCAAACCTTGTAGGGATGTGTCCTGTCAGTACACATGCATAACTATAACATCAGCCATAGATACCTTTGGATTTTATATATTAAGCACACATACACAAATCACAGCAGTTTTCTATTATCAATTTTTAGTATTCACATTACATTGTTTTCTCCCAGTTTCCTTTGCTTCTGGCCCACCACCTGAAGACCCCCTGTCCCGTACTGGTCGACCATTTGGTGGGATGGTTCGAGACATAAAGAGACGTTACCCATACTACAAGAGTGACATCACAGATGCTCTAAACCCCCAGGCCCTTGCTGCTGTCATCTTCATCTACTTTGCTGCCCTGTCTCCTGCCATCACCTTTGGAGGACTGCTGGGTATGTTCATATATTTGCATTAGATCTTTCTGTCATATGCAATAGATCCTATAATAACACTTTGCCATCATCTTTGCCACTTTAGCTGATAAAGTGGAAAACATGATGGGTGTTCCAGAGCTTCTGATCTCCACCTGCATCCAGGGGATCATTTTCTGCTTTGTTGCTGCTCAGCCCCTGCTGATCATTGGTTTCTCTGGTCCACTGTTAGTGTTTGAGGAGGCCTTCTTTGCTGTAAGTTATAACACTGTCATTGCAAAGCCTTATTTACAGTCTCTGCTGATCCATATGATCCCACTGAAGTGAAGTTTTGTGACAGCACTTTGATGTGTAGTAAATTTTTGAATACCATAATACATTATTTTTTTTAGAATTTGCTGACTGTCATGCATATACCAAATATAACAGCAGTCATGATCAGAGTTCAGCTCATGCCCATTTTCCTTCATTCAGTTCTGCAAGGCCCAGGACATTGAGTATATTGTTGGTAGAGTGTGGGTTGGAGTGTGGCTGGTCATCATTGTGGTGATCATAGTAGCCTTTGAGGGCAGCTTCCTGGTGCGTTACATCTCCCGCTTCACCCAGGAAATCTTCTCCATCCTCATTTCCCTCATTTTCATCTATGAAACCTTTGCCAAGCTAGTGAAGGTAAACTGTTTTCATCCATTTCACACATTGTTTTTCAGATAGCCAGATCATAATTGTTCTTCATCTACACACCTTCCTGAACTCTTTTTAGATTTTCAAGTCACATCCCCTCATTCTGAATTATGATCAACTGAATGCAACTCTAGAAAATCCCTGGCACCCACAAGTGGAAGAGATGGTTGTCTATGACAATGCTACTGGCAACTTGACTGTTGTTATTAACACTATTAAGTCACCTTACCCCAACACAGCCCTGCTCTCCATGTGCCTCATGTTTGGCTGTTTCCTTATTGCATTCTTCCTGCGCCAGTTCAAGAATGGGACTTTTCTTCCTGGAAAGGTGACTTGACTGTCATTGTAGTTATTCTGAAATGAAATTATTTCTGTGACTGTGCTTATCAACTTCTAAATTAAGTATAAAGCTCTGTAATCATTGATTATTTTTTTAACTTCTGTCCTTACCAGGTCAGGCGTTTGATTGGTGACTTTGGTGTGCCTATTGCCATTCTTCTCATGGTTGTTGTCGACTACAGCATTGAGGATACCTACACTCAGGTTGGCCTAGCTCTCCAGTTTTCAAGCCATTTTTCTCAGCTGAATGCATAATTGATACACTATACCTATTTGATTCTTGTGGGCAGGTTTTATTGAAATCTAGTGAGGTTCTTTTTTTTTTCCAGAAACTCATGGTTCCAAAAGGTTTGACAGTGTCCAACCCAGCCAGAAGAGGCTGGCTTATCAACCCCTTTGGAGAGCACAAGACGTTTCCTGTGTGGGTGATGTTTGCATGCTGTATTCCGGCCATACTTGTCTTCATTCTCATCTTTTTGGAGTCTCAGATCACAACGTGAGTCGTTGTATTTCAACAGCAAAATCACTAACTGATGACAAAACTTGTACCACAATTTGATTCAAATGTTGTCTTTGTCAACAGTCTGATTGTGAGTAAACCTGAGAGGAAGATGGTCAAGGGCTCTGGGTTCCACTTTGACTTGCTGGTTTTAGTCTGCATGGGAGGTCTCAGTGCATTTTTTGGTGTGCCATGGCTCAGTGCTACCACCGTGCGGTCTGTCAGCCATGCTAATGCCCTCACCATCATGAGTAAAGGACCAAAACCTGTGATCCAGAAAGTAGTGGAGCAGAGAGTTAGTGGTTTTCTGGTAGCATTGCTGGTTGGTAGGTGCTGTCTACAAATCTGGATTTCTACTAGTGTGTCTACTGTCAGCATACTACTGCACTTTACTTATTCTGTTTTTTTATCTGAATGCCTGTTGTATCAAGGTTTGTCAATTCTGATGGAGCCAGTCTTAAAGCTGATTCCTATGTCAGCCTTGTTTGGGATCTTCCTCTACATGGGAGTCACATCACTAAATGGCATCCAGCTGTGGGAACGTATACTGCTTCTGTTCATCCCTAAGAAGTATCATCCTGATGAACCCTATGCTACCAGAGTAAATGCACAGAATAAATTTATCCATAAACTCATGTGTTCACCACTGTAATAGCCTCTAAATTTCATTAGTCTGCAGCCATGCTAGCAGCTCTGTTGGGCTGTATTTAGCCACTTTTGTGTTTCGGGTTACATGCTAATACTGGCATGCTAACCTGCTCACCATAACAGTGGCATGCTAATGCTGGCCAGTTATAATGTTTGCCATCTTAGTTCAGAGCACAAACCAAAGTTTTATGGATAAAAAGTCACAGGACACTTATTAAGACTGAAAATATTAACCTCATGTTGTAAAAAAAAAGCATGGGTGGGGTCAACAAAGCCAATAGGATTCATCCTCTAGGGATGATGAGCGTCTTTATTCATTTTCATGAAAATCCATCTAATATTTGAGATACTTCAGTCTGGAACACAGTGGCTCACCAACCATAGCATTCCCAACAACTATATGTGCAGTTATGTTTAACTTGTGTTTGTAAATCTCGGACACAGGTGAGCACAAGACGAATGCACTTGTTCACGGCCATCCAGATAGTGTGCCTTGCACTTCTCTGGATTGTGAAGTCCAGTCCAATATCTCTCGCACTTCCATTCATTATCATCCTCACCATACCTCTGCGCATAGTTATGACCGGACGTGTCTTCACCCAACTAGAAATGAAATGTGTAAGTGGTCTCTTGTAATGTCAATAATGGACTGAGCCTGAAAAGAGGGAGTGTGAAGTATGTGTGTGCACTAACTCTGTCCTTACTTTTCTGCCTGTTGTGTTTTAGTTGGATGCTGATGACGCTAAAGTGACATTTGAGGAGGAGCCGGGGCAGGATGTATACTGTGAATCTCAAATGCCATTGTAGCTTCTTCCATATGTTCTGCCAGCAAGTACTTATTTTAACAAAAAGATATTTATTTTATACATGCCTCTTATTATTTAACTTGTATTTTTCTTGTTTGTAACATTTATACTTTTTAATAAATCTGGCTTTTTTCAAAAAAAAAAAAAAATCTGATAGAGATTCTATCATTATAGTGTCACTATGAATAACATTAATATTTTGTACAAAAACTTCCTAAGTCAAAAATTCAGTCACTCTGGTAATTTAGTTGCATTATATTGTCTTGTTCCTAATGGCTTGTGCCTTTGAAACAACTAAAACGGGCCTATAACTGACATGTTTTTACAAAAAGAAGGAAACACAAATGCTTTTTAAAGAATTTAGAAGAGATATTTCTACACTATATTAAATGATGCCAGTTCTCCATAAATGGACCGACTGAATGCTGAATGGAAAATATTATAATATAAAAAGCCAAAAATTACATGTTTTTTAAGCAATTGTATATTGAATGTAATGTTGTAAAGAGAGCTAAAGAACAACATCACTGTATGGCAGTACAGTGTGAGCGAAAATGTTGAATTTTTTTTGTGGGTTGTTGAGATCTATATTGTCTGTTGTGCTGCTGTCTTCTTGTGAGCTCTCTCTAAATAATAAAACTACCTCCCCAAAAATGCATCACATAATTGTTATTAAGTGTGGTTTGGTAGGAATAGGAAAGCAGGGGCAATTCAGTGATCTACAGATTCTATTTATCCATTGCTTAATTTTCACTTTGACACCTGTTATTGAATGAACAATATGGCAGAGGCACCAGAAATAACTTTGGGTGGTCTCAAATCAAATCAGTAAAGACAATGAATAGATGAATGAAAAGCTAGCATGAAAGGACTAAAAAATTTAAAAGGGCTTGATGCCAGACTGGCCTTTCACATGCGCATGATCACAGATACAGAAAAGTAGTTAACCTGAAATAAACCTTTTTGTTTTTCTTTAATTTTTTCCATATTTTATTTATTAGTTATGAGACTTTGTAACCTCAAAGATTCTTGCTTCATATACGTATATATTGTCATTTATCAGCATTCAGATGGATTAGTGCAATGATTTTTACAGCCTCCAGCTCAGTAGATGGGGCATTGCAACTAGACTGAGACTCTTGCGCTCCGCCAATAAACAGAAAGAAGAAGAGGAAGAGAACGAAGAAGAGGAAGAGAACGAAGAAGAAGCTGCTGCTGCTCATTGGCTGTTTGGTATCTTTTCTTATTGGTTGCTCTCTCGACGAGGTCCTGTCCACTAAACACGGAGGGACACTATCGGTCGAATAACATATGATTTGTTTGTCTAATTGTGATGTTTTTGCTCTGTGAGTGAACGTAGCGGTAGCAGCGGCATCTTAACAAATATATTATTTGTTTAAATATCATTAAGTCATAGTTTATACGTTGGTTAGCCAACTAGCTAATGTTGTTCACTCTCCTGGAATCACGTGGAGTGGAGTGCTTGTTTACGTCCAGCTAAGGCATTGGAAAAATGAGTGAAACTGAAATTACTACTGAAGTATCTGGTGGGTATAATACAATAATCCTGATAACGTACACACAGTTTTAAACGTCCACTGTAACTTTAATTACACATGTGACTAAAGCCGAGCTGGAATTTCCTTTGCATGACGATTTTCAGTTATTGAGTAGACTAATAAATGACGGTCTATGCTGTCCATGTGTTTTGATTACAGGGTGGACCAAGGAGAACCTCCAGAAGCTTTTTGCCCATATCAAAAGCAGCATCCCTAAACGGTTCACAATGATCCCTTATTACAGGTCGCTGAAACGTGTAGACTGGGAGAAGGTGGCTTTCCCCCCTTTCTCTCCTGAAGCATGTCGAGACAAGTGGACACAGATTTTACAGACGGTGAGTCACAGTTTAGCACAAGTTTCCGGCATCACGGGAGAAATTTAACACTTGTTATTAGTGTAGTATTCTACATATTGGTACTTGAGTTCAGATTTGTGCTTAAGTCTTATTGCATTTTAAATAAGAATTCATGAATAAACGTGCTTTTTCTGCTTGTTGTGACCTGAGGATGGGGTGTTAGGAGTATGATACTTTTAGGACTGTAGCCTCAGCTAAAGGGGGTTATAATAATTTGATGCTGCAAATCAGTATAACAGCTCTGCTATAATGGTTATAGTTATTGTTGTACCAGGCTATATTCTGTTGAGAGGGGTTTGACCTCCCTCTTTACATATATAAGGGTGCCAGAATATTAGAAACAACTCCCAATATAATGCATAATGGAGTTCAACACAAAATCACCACTATTTATGACCTCAGTGCAAAAACATGTAATTGAATTAACACCTCTTGATAGTGTCCAAACACAAAACTAAACTAAACTGCTAATGTTCCTTATTTAAACCATTAACTAATGTTTTTTTAAGTTAATAAAACAAATAATTTGAAAGGTTTCTCGCAGTGGTAAAGAAATACAACAAACTGCCATTTCAGAAATATTCACAGAAGATGTTTTAGAAATTTTGTTAGTTTAATATCCTTGTTGTTATTGCTCAGATGCACAAGACTCGGACCCTCACAGAGCTTGTTTCTGTGGCTGAAGAAGTCCTTTTAAATCCAGTCTGGAACAGTAAGGTAAGCACTCTCAATTTTTAGATAAATACAGAACTGCCCAGTACACGGTTAGAGTATATTTGAAATATCTTGTAGGTCACTGTGTCTACAAATACAAAACCTGTGCAAAACAATAATGACACATCAGTCTTGAAACAGTGCTCTCACATTTTTGTTGCTGGTCAGTTGCATAGTGAATTGTGAAGTCTGTTGCTTTGTTGGTTATACATGCTCTCCATGGAGCACTGACCTGCACTACAGCTGTCCAGTATTACCATGTTTTATTCTTTAAATTTATAATAAGCAGTTTTTTTTTTCTGCAGCTCAATCCAGAGGTCCCAAAGAAACCCACTCCTCCTAGTGGCATTTTTTGTGAAAAGAACTGGACCATGTTTCGTGAACAGCATCCAGAACTGAACGAACAGAAGTTGGTGGCTTTAATGGGAAACAAGTACAAGGTGCTCCCAGATGAAGAGAAGGTACAATCACCGAGAGGCCACCGCTAAAACAGGGCTTCATCTTATTTTGTTAGGCATGTTGAAGTACTGACTTTTTTTCCATAAATCACAGGCTCAATATGTGGAGGAATACCATCTTGCAACTCAAGAATACAAGAGAATTAAGCTGGAATTCAGGTAGAGGCTGGTATTCATGTGAATAAACACAGTGCAGACACGTATGATTTGGCCCTGAAGTTGCCCTCGTAAATACGGTGTCAATGAAATTTTTTGTCTTTCAGACAACATCATATATCTACTAAGAGCAAATCCAAGAGGAAGAGGAAGAATGTCCCTGCAGACACTGCAGATGTAAGCTGCTAGTCTGAGTCATGAAGTGCAGTGAACTTTTTGTATGACTAGCTGTGCTCCTCCCCTTTACCAATTAGTGTAATAGTCATTTGATTTAATACAATTTATATTCACTGGTTGGGCACATATTTGATGGCGGTACTACTGGCACTGCTGGCAGTGTTCTAAATCTTTGTGTGTGTGACGCATCTTGTTTCCGCAGGGTGAACAGCATACTAAAATTGAAAAAGGCCTGCCTCCAAAACCTCCTTTGTAAGTTACACACACACACACACACACTCTAGAGCAACAATTATTGGAAATTAACTTTAAAAGTCTCCTGTTTTGCTTTGTTGTGTGTTCATATATCAGCTGCTTGCACCTGTTTCTTGTTTTAATTTCCCATAGAAAATTTTTGTTTTGTTGAAATTTGTGTTTGAGTAATTATTCTTGTACTGTGCCATCACCCCATACTGTTGATGGCACAGTACATGGTGTGGAACCGATGCAGGTCCCCATCATGTAAGTTATTGAAATGTAGGCTGAAAGCTTGGTTTAAGGTTAGGGTTAGTCTCCAGGAAGTAAATGTAAGCCAATGTAGAGTCCCCATGAGGAATTAAGACAACATTGTATGTGTGCGTGTGCATGTGTTATGCATCTTTAGCAGTGGCTATAATCTATTCTGCAAAGAGCAGCTGCCATCGATGGCAGGTGATTCAAGCAATGTGAGAGTGTGGGGCCAATGTTGGCGAGAATTGACTGAGGAACAGAAGCACGAGTACAATATCCGCTGCAGAGAGGTATGAACACACACACACACAAACTAGTTCATCAGCTGCTGTACCACAAGACACTGAATGTTGTGTTACAGTAAAAGTCAATTCAATCTGAATGCAATACTTTGTTCATTTCTTTCAGTTGAAGAGAGAGTACAACATCAAGCTGAATGAATATCTAGATGTAAGTTAAGAAGATGACAGCATCAGCGCAGTGCTGCAACTGTCAGACTTTGTGACATATGCACTTGTGTTCCTCAGACCTTTGATAAGGAGAAGCAGGTGCAGATCCTAAATGAGACTGGCATCAAAAGACCCAAAAGGGTGAGGAAAACATTTCATGGTTCCTGTGCACACCTGGCAGTTACACATTTCCCCTCTTATAAATATAATTTGCGTCCTTAATGTGTAGGGCATTCATAGAAACATGAAGCTCAAAAAGAAATATCCTGGCGAGCCCAAGATGCCATCTCGGTGAGCAACTTCAAACATCTATCTTCAAGAGTAATTGAAATGTACAGCAAATAAAGTGGTTACTTTTTACAAACGTAACAGAAATTTTCTTCACCCACAGATGTAGTAATGTCATTTTCTGCCAAAATCAGATGGAACTTTTAAAGAAGGAAATCCCAAATTCAAAGGAGCGCTTCGGCAAGATCAACAAAATGTGGAAGGACCTCCCCTTAAAGGAGAAGGAATTCTACAAAGAGAAATTACATGAAAAATTCAGAGAATACTCGATGGAACTGCAGAAATGGTTTAAGGTATAAAGGATTCTCTTGTAATATTTTTTTTAAATTTAGACAGTTTTTTCAACTTTAAAATGGAAGATTAGAAGGCTTTACCTTTTACACTGTTCAGACATTATCGGCAAAGGAGCAGCAGGCGTATCGGAAATCTAACCCCACTGTAAGCACACAATTTAAGTGCCTATTTAAATTTCTTTATTAATTCTTTAATACTTTCTATGATTGTTTTCTTAAATTCATGAAGATCTTATCTCTGCAGAAATGTCAGTACCTCTGTGATAAAAACCTGAAAGGTTATGACAAAGAAGAGCTGTGCCAATACAGACCATCAGTAAGTGGAAGTGGTGTTACAGCACATATGAAGTAACACACTTACAGTATCTCAACCACACAGACATGATGTGACCAGTGTAACACACACTGATATTACAGGCTGTCAAACTTAAAGTAAATGCACTTTATCTGAAGTTATCTGCTTTTATTTTTGCTTATTATGTTATTTAATTTATCAGTTGATAGTACAAGTAAGTTCTGTCCAAATGGATAAAGGAAAGTATAAATCATAAAATAAAAAATATTCTAAATGCTTCACTGAGGGTCAAAAACCCTATTTTAAGTCCACATTTATTGTATGTCACACAGGATTCAGAAGATTCAGAAGTCACTGAGGTCAGCAGCAGTGATGAAGAGCAGTACAATATGGATTACGATGAGGTTAGAAAACCATGACATATTTGTTCACTTATATATTAAATGTTGAAGCTGTCTTCTTATTTTTACTTGAAACTGCATTCAGGTGTTATAAATATCAGCTTTTGATCCACAGGATGAGGAGGAAGAAGGAGAAGAGGGTGACGCAACATTTGAAGTATATTAGATTCTGATGAGATGGACAGCAACAGTGTCACACACTTCATTCTCAGACTGGATTCTGGATGTGAGATGATGACAGTGTATGGCAGCCATATTGGGTGGAAGGTTGAAATGAAGTATCCTACAACCAAGAATGGATTACAAAGTACCCAGGTTTCCTAGTTGGTGACATTTGGTTTTTGGTAATATGATTGTATTTGTAATTTTATTTGGGAGAATGGAGGGCAGATCTGTTTTATTACCAAATTCTGTGGCCTTATCTTGAAGATGGGATCCATTGTGCTAACATGCATGTTCCCAAATTGATGTATTAAGATTACCACAAGGTCGTTGGTGTCAAAATGAGGTACCAACTTGTTTCTGTTTTTATTGAATGGGGAAAAAGTCACTTCAAGCTTTTTTTTTTGTTGTTGTTTTTACAAACCCTTGCTCATTTTGTTTTTTGTAAATCCCACAAAGAAGAGGTGTTTTAATAATAAAAGTGCTGTATAAAGGTGAATATTGGATTGCATGATGGAGTCAAGTTCATATAACTGGTCACAAACCAGACCTCCAGGGTTAAAAATGGGATGGGTTGTAATGACTACCACTTAGTCAGACAAAGGGTAATTTTAACCTTAAATTTCACGGGTTGGCATGCACTCACACGCCATCCTGGAGGATAAGTCCACTAATTTGGTGCCGAGTGAGATCAAAAGACCCGGCAGCGCAGCAGAGGAAGCATCACATGTCGTGTAGCGATCGATTGCTACTGTCTGATCTCTGATGTAAAGATGGATGCCTGCCGAAATAGGTAAATAGACAGTTAGAAAATTTGCGTGGCTGTGACTGTGATGTTCCCTTTAGATAGTTTTTACATTGGGACAGAAGCGTCGTTTTTCCTCATTTATAGTTTGTATGGGGAGTCGAGAGGGGTACAGCCGCAGTGCAGCAGCAGCAGTGTTGGGGTTCGTGGACTGCCCTCGCTGTGATCAAACTATTTCTTCAACAGTAAAACCGTTCAGGCACCAACCAGTGTGTTAAATTGTTTCTCTCCACACAGCCTAGTCTGATACATTTTACACGTTTCATTTGTAGCCGTAGGTGCTGTTGACCTGGTGCTGCGTCTTTGGTATTTTCAGTTCCTCCAGCCTATTCATAGCCTCGCTCTTTGTTTTCTTCAGCAAGGTTTTGGCTAAGCTACTTTCATTAGTCAGTAATGCTCCGACCAGCAGAGTAGTGTTGGAAAATTACACTAACTTAATGTCTAGCATCGTCTCTGTTTGTTGGGGCGTTATGATGCAACAACACCAACCCTGTGTTCTTCTGTTTTGTGTTATTCGTAGGTTGTAAATGTGGGAAGTAACTCCCCTGGCAGTGTTCAACTGTGAAGTTGTAAGCAGCTGCATCACATTAAAGATGTCACATGTTGACCATACACTGATTTACTGTCATTGTCTAAATAGGATGTTAATGCCACCCTGATGCTAAGTGTGTGTTTCCCTCCTGCTGCAGCCCTGTTCTGGCCAATGCTTGCTGAGCTAAAGCATGACCACAGCAGTGTCGGCTCATCTGGTAGTTCTGGCAAATGAAAATGGAGGAGGTTTCAATGTCCAGCCTGGACAACAGCAAGCTGGAGGTACAGTAGAGAGAGGCTTCAGCATAATAATGCTTCAAGCAACCTTGTTACATACTACATCTGCAGACACATTGCAGAACAGAGTGTGGTAACATACACCAATACATCCTCGTATAACCTGATTTGTCTTTCTTTCCTGACCTTTCCCTGCCAGGGCCTAGCTCAGGACATCCTGTCTGACCTGGTGGAGGATGCATGCCTGGGTCTTTGCTTCGAGGTCCACCGGGCCGTCAAACAGGGCTATTTTTTCCTGGATGACACGGACCAAGAAAGCATGAGGGACTTCGGTGAGCCCAAAGCCATTCTCCCCTCTAGTGAAATAAAGGTGGACTATTTAAACTACTAACACTCTGTTAACACGGGGTAGTGAAAAGTTGAGAGGAATGTGTATGTTGTTGTCATATTAGTGCAAGGCATAGCAGCCAATGAAAGCTGTCTAAACTATAGTTAGGTTTGTATGTTTTGAGTTCCATGGTAATTTCATGGCATTAAGTAATAAAAAGGTGAAACATTTATTGAATAATTGATTTTCACTGACTAGAAATTGTGGACCAGCCGGGACTGGACGTGTTTGGCCAGGTGTACAACCAGTGGAAAAACAAAGAGTGTGTATGTCCCAACTGCAGCAGGAGCATTGCAGCCTCACGTTTTGCCCCACACCTGGAGAAATGCCTGGGCATGGGACGCAACAGCAGCCGCATCGCCAACCGCAGGTATGAGAGTAAACCAGCCAAAGGTCTCACCCAGAGAGATCTCTGCTTAATTGTTCCAGTGAAAACTAGTGTAATCTCAGAATAGTTTCAGTATATTGGATTACAACTGTATGTGCACTGATGTACACTAGATGGAAAATGAGTGAAAATGAAGGTCAGAATGTATTATCGTTTAGAGTAATGCTGAGTCATTCTGTGTGTCATGTCTTGCCTCTTTTACAGAATAGTCACTGGTAGCAACGCCAACAACAAGTCAGAGAGTGACCAAGAGGATAACGATGACGTCAATGATAATGACTGGTCTTATGGGGCAGAAAAGAAAGGTAATGTACTCTTTACTGATAAAGAATTTTGACTTCTGTCATAACCATCTAGTGAAGTTGGACATATATGAACTCACTCAAATATTTTTTGGGGTCTAAAATGTAATGACTCTCTTTTACAGCCAAGAAAAGGAAATCTGACAAGGTACATTGTTTTCTTTGTAAAAAAGCTAACAATATAAAAATCTTTCCCCAACATTAATTAATTTAGATATTACTCATTATTCCTGATTGGTCAGCTCAAATAAAATATATTTTCTTTTTCCCCATCAGAATCCAAACTCGCCCAGGAGATCCAAATCATTCAAACATAAGAGCAGTAAGTAGAGATGTATAGACTTCTATTTGATGGCTTGCCTGCAGTTTGTGTACTGTGTCATCTCATCAATGTTGAGTTGTAAGTAAACCATACATGTTAAAACATATTACAGTATTTGTAGAAAATACTTAGCATCCTAACATTTGATGCCAAATAATTACCCTGATTGTTGTTAAGTTCATACTTGTATTAATTTTTCCCATGACACTAAATACACAAGAAATGTTACAGCATTTAGATGATGCAGTAAAATATTCAAGACGTTATTTAGTAACAGCACCTCTGTTATAAATAACCATAGGAATTTTGACTGACAGGTTACCTGATCTCCAAGTTCAAACTATTTTAAGGCTGTGCTCAGCCCTTTGGTCCCACTTTGCAGACAAACACTGCAGCGTACACGACAATACCTGACGTGTTGTATGTTCAGTGACTGTAATAGTCATTTGTTATATTAACAGTATGGCACAGACAAATGAGCTAATCCAGGTCTGACAGACATTAACTGAGAGTAGAAGCAGTTCATTGATAGTTTTAGTGTCTGTATGGGGACTGCTGAAAATATTGTTAAAATAGAAAATGACTGAGGATTAAAGGATAAGACCAGTTTTCAACCAATCAGAATGCAGAATTCACAGTGGCTGTGGATTAAATGGAGTTGCTATCTTGTTGCTTAAAATACATTTGAATTAAATTTGTCACCGTTAGGTTTGTTTTTCATAACTAAGGAGAATTCCTACCACACCAAATCTCTCTTTACTTATTTGACTTTAGAATCAAAAAGTAAAACCCAAGCCATTTTCTATTTATTAATTTCATACCTAGATCAGGTCTTGATTGATTCCTGTCAGTAATTTTTGTGTGCATGCTCTCCAAAGATTTTGTACTCCTTTTGTTTTTCTTTTCAGTTATTTATTTAAAAAATTTCAGCTGTGTTCAGTATATTGGCCAAACATTCAAAAACGGACTGCAATACTGTCTGTGTTGGCCGTACTCAAAGCCTGCTTAGTAACAGTCTATAATATAAAACTGAAATACCAGATAACAATTAAATGAAGTAAAACTAGTATAAACCAGCATGTAATGAGAATGAGTGAGTGACATGCAGCCTCTGTTTATTTCCAAAGGCATGATGGGTCCTCGACGTCGTATGGACAACCAGGAGAGCCCGCGCATGCTGATGAAAGATGAGGCATTCCCTCAATAACACACACATTCTCTTACCATTATGTCTGTGCACATAAACACAAAATGCACACACATGAGAAAAACCAGTAACACTTCACCTTTGGTTCTTTTTGTTGTGAAATAATGGACATTGATGTTTGGTGTTTGCTGCTCTGCAGAAGCAGTCTAGACCTCCCACTGTATACTTGAAAGGTTTTGTTTTTTTTTCCCCACAAAATCATTGTACCAACACTTTTTTTCTTTTTGTTCAGTTTGATTTTTATTTTTTTGCTGGAGTCCAAAATAATGAATATCACCATGTATGATGTCACTGCTCAGAAGTAGATTGTGGTGTAATTCATTCAGTGGCAAAGCAGAGGCAGCTGTGTGAAGAATGACAGTGTGCACATACAGTGCGTCGTTTCACACAAATAATCAGGCATTAGGTGTACATCTAGTGCCTCACCTTTTAAAATCTCATTCTTTGAAAAATAATGTCAAAGACAATCATTACTAATGGTTTGTCTTTTATTTTCTCATTCATGCTTTTCTGCAGCGTGCGAGAGAGAAGCAACTCTGTCGTTCACCTGTGGAAACTTGTTCTAAAGATGTTCAGTAACTGCACAAGCAAGTATTTGCTGCAGAAAGCAGGTTTCTTTTCATTTCATTTTTGGTGGGTAGATCGGCTCGTTTTCTAGCATTCAAATATGTCTTTGTATCATGTGTTTACATTGTAAAGGATTACATATATCCTTTGGTGTGATGTGATAGTGTAAATATTCCAGTAGTTGAATTGCTGCTATCATGGCTCAGTTTGTTTAATCTGTTTAGCATAATAAATGATTTGTTACCTGTCCTGTAGTCCTGTATCAATCTGAACTCATGGTTTTGATGGCTGTACAACTGCAACCTGTATTTACAAGTAAAGACCAAATGGCCAGCAGGGGGCGCTGTGGGTCAAGTAATGATGTCAAGACCTGCTTGGGTTTTGTTTATACATGTTGCACTGGTAAAGTGTGATTAGATCTTATCATTAGAACAGAACAAATTCACACAGATTGAGCTTCTTCAAGTAAAGTACTGAGTTTCTAGAAGTTAAAATTGCCAGAGGGGACCTGTTATGCTGCATGTATGTGCTCTTCCTAAAGTCCTACTTCTGGGTTTTGTTACTGTTCTGTTTCTTGGCAAAGTGGTTAAGCAAAAATGTCTGAAAGTTAAGTATTACGTTTGGTGCTGTTGTATGTAGGTTGTCATCACATCAGTGCTCTGCAAATTGACTTGCAGAAAAATGATGCATTCAGTATCAATCATATGATACTTCCAGTACCCTATTATGCGAAGAATGTGAGATATGTTTGTACATTTAACTTCTACCACGAAGCGAGATTAGTGGCTTATCCAGCTAACTTTCGGCTCAGCTCAGGTTTCTTCGGTACAGCACCCCGAAGCTGGCTCACTTTTACTTGGGCTAAATCACCAGGTGAGAGGGTGTACGCCTGATGACCCTTGACCTACCTTCACTCCTCCGCCCAAACAGAACTTGTATTGATGTTGGTGATAATATAGATACAGACTCGCCGCAATTGTTAATAGTCTTCTTTTGTTAGACAATCTTGGTAGAATTAGTGTCCGTGCTTTCGGGCTAAAGATTGTGATTCCAGCATCCCAAACTGGTTGGTTACTGGTCAGATAATGAGGATGCCATTGTCGACGTTGTTATGAATGGGAATTTAGAGGTGACAAGATGCATGCACAACGGATGAGCATGGAGAACGGTGTACACATGGGCCCAAACCACTTTTTTTTTTTTTTATTTGTTCCAACTAGTGGACTAACGCTTATTATGGCCACAGTAACTAAAACCTCGAAATTTCCGATGTCCCTGAAGGCAGCATTTTGCATTGTGTGCAGGCAGTTTCAAGAATACTTGGTTTTGCTTTTAGTGACTGAGTTTGTCGTAAGTCTGGCGTTGTCATGTTTTTAATTAGCTCCACAGCTAAATAGCAGCTAGTAAGCGATGTTTTAATTTCAGGACAAGGGAAAGAAAAAACAATATAGTGTCCACAAAACAAGCAGTTGTAGGTGGAAGTAAATCCCGGAACTTGCAACGGTAGGAAGCGCGAGCTAACATTAGCTAGCTTTTTGTTGACAGCGCGCTGCTGTCAAACCAGAACCAGATCTCATCTGAAGTAAGGTTAGTTAGCTAGCGAGCTACGTGAAGACTTGTACCATTGGCGTTCATTTGTACGTGTATTTGGGCCGAAATCTAGTAGACGTTTTTGTCACTTTTTTTACTACTTGTGGATCTAGAAGATGGCATCAAGAGGAAGCTTCACGGGTCCTCCGATGAATCAGAATG